CAATTTTCTTCAAACTTCGATGCGATGTTATTTTAACGATTAATATTACATTAATAAATAATTTCAAATATGTCAAAGTGAATTCAATGAAATAAATGAGAAACAGTCAGTCCATTAAATTATTATTCTTACGTATCTATATGATTATGATTAATTTGATCTATAAAAGTTTATTTCTTTCGTAAAACCATGTAGTATACGTGAAACGATAAATTTATAGGTAACATCAAGGTCTTCCTAGTAATATAATTTTATACTTGAAAACTGTATACGATGCTAAACAGAACCAAGTACTATCGTCTTAAATTTCGTTCACATATTTTTCTTTATTACATTAAACTTCGCATTATATATTCCATCATAGTACATATAAAGATTTTCTGTATTCTATTTTCTTACGTATATTCGTAAATAAATAGATAAAATGGAATATTTAATAAAGTATATTATATTTATTATCAAAAAAAAAAAAAAAAAAAAAAAGAGAATAAGAAAAAAAACAGAAAATAATACAAGAAAAAAGAAAGAAAAAAAGAAGAACAGGAAAACCCTTTTGGCCTTTGTTATCTACTTGAAAAATTTTTCCTTGCCTAACGTTTCTATTTTTCCATCATTTATATTTTTAATATTTAACGTACCTTTCATTACGACATTACGCTTCATGTTCCACACCGTCGTAAAATATTGCCTTTTTAACGTCGAAGTTTTCTCGGACTTTCTACCTCTTCCCTTTTTATTTCGGAATATCAAAAGTAAGCGAGTAGCTTCTTCGGAGAGGAAAAAAAAAAGAAGAAATGAAAAAAAAGAAAAAAAAAGAAACAAAAAGAAACAAAAAACTGAGAATATATAATTCGATAAATCTAGAAATAAATAAAACGATAAATAAAATAATTTATTCGAAAAATTCAATTGTTTATATTCAAATATTTGAAGGACAAGCAAGAACACATATAAAATTTTACTAGTTGGTTAAGTTCGAGCTATCCGGCGTTACGTCACGATTACTAAGAGGGTAGCTTGATTAGAAATTCTAACCGCGTTATCGTCAGAGGATAATGCGTGGGTACGGTTAAGATGTCGGTATTAACGAGGCAAGTGCACATTCTCCGAAAGCAGATGCCGAAGCTTATAGTTAGTAGAGAATCACCGTAGACGTTCGTCTTCGTAGAAATAAAGCACAGCTGTGTGCCCTTCTAACGGTCCTTCTAAATCTTTCGAACGAATCCTTCCAACTGATGAAATTCATTTATAGTCGGATCTATCTTATTAAAAGAATATATATATATATATATATATATATATATATATATATATATATATATATGTACATACAACCTTGCTATTAACAATAAGAAAATTCTATTCTCTATAAATTTCTCTTTCTCCATTTTTCCTTCTCTATGCTATTTTAACGTCAAGTACCTCGCTCCAAGTACACCCTTGGGTACATTCTATTTTTCGTTATTATAGGAACGTAACGGAAGAATTGTAACAAATTTTCCAAAAGTTCACCGAGTACTAAAGAGAAATCACTCAATTCTTGGCTCATTAAATAATTTAAATATAATAGTTATCTAAAATATATATATATATATATGAATTATGTCACAGTTCTATTCTAATAATAAAAGTTAAAATATTAATCGTTGCGTCAATTAGTTATGAAATTATACTTATAGTGTTTTCTTTTTCTTTTCTTCTTTTCTTTTTTCCTTCTTTTATTTTTGCAGTATTTTATCAAAGTCACATCAATGCTATGGGCAGAGTATTATTTCATTAGATTATTTTTACTAATAAATTTTGTTGAGTAACATGGAAAAGCTTTCAGGTATTCTTTCAGATATTATTTCAGATTAAGGTAAATAAAATAAAAATATATAGATTAATGATTCTTAATTGATAGCATGAATTTGCAAAACGTGATCAATTGAAAGAAAGAGAAAGAGAGAGGGGGAGAGAAATTTCAAAGAAAATTTATCGCTTTTTACTTTGTCGTTGATCAAATAGAAATGTTACAAGTAACCACTATATCTCAAGGTGAATTCCATGGCTGAGAATAATGCTAAAGTTGATACTAACAATTCTGCTTCTCTTCAAACTCGTGAGCCTTACTTAGCAAAATGTTTCTCAGTAGTTTACCCGTATTGCATGATGCAACCATCTCACATTCGGTGTCAAAGTAACATTACGAAAGTAATGCATCTTAGTTTGAGTAACTATCGAGTATCATCATAACGTTCAATATCATTGAGAAAGATGCTCCACTTCAATATATTATTTACTTCAATTGCAAAAAAGAAAAAAAAATGAAAAAGGAAGAAAAAAAAAAAGAGAAGAAAAACGAAAAAGACGTGATAATTTGTGAAATAAAAAATCACGTGACTTATTTAGAAACTCGAAGATAAATAATTATGAATGATGATATTGTCAATGGAAGAAGTAGTCTTCTAAATGATCGATATTGTTCCGATTATATCTAGATACTCGAAATCATTGTAATATTGAGATCCTGATAAGGATTTCCCTCCATGTACATCGATCACTTTGATTGGATCGATGTGGTCACATGTAGTTAACTCCTTGGCTCTAGAATTTGCAGTTAGCTTAGGGATTATCACTTGATATTCCTGGTATTCTTCAACTAACTGGAAGGATTAGTTCAATTAAATTCATAGTAGAACTAGCAATTATAATTAATACTATGATAGCTATGTACATGTGTATAAAATATATATATATATAGTATTTTTTCTACGATTTTACTCTTTAAAATCGATCACACGTCAACATATAAATCAAAATAATTAAGAAAATAGATAATATTGAAACATACACACATGCAATTTACTTACACATTCCAAATATATTACATGTTTCATCTTTATAGAAGGTAGAGAGGATGTCGGAGAGGAGGAGAAAGGAATAGCTTTGATCACGTTCTAAACTTCTCTACTTCCTTTGATCCTTCGATGAAACTCTATTAAATTTATTAAGTGTATGCCGCAAGAAACAAATAACATCCCTTTGGTGGCGGGATGAAAACTAAAGGATAATATCGTTGTTTGTATCAAGCGAATTTTTCGTATCAAAAAGCATCTGAAAACCAAACTTATCTTCTTCCTGAGAAGATTTCGACGAAGAATATTTTTCTTGACACGTATACCGCGAATCGTACCCTCTCCACCACCACTCGTCACGAAATTTCATCCCCAATCCCCGACCACTTATTTTTCTCCCTCGTCACGTTCACTGAAACGAAGCCTTCGCACTCCATACTTCTTTCCTTCTCAACGTATTTCTTCATCCACTCTTTTTATCCTACCCTCTATTTCTCTTTTTCTCCATTCTATTTTCTTCTTTTTTCTCTTTTCCATCCAACGCTTTCGTCGAAGCTCGTTCTTTATCTAAAGTCTCGCGACTCTTTCAAGAATCCAAGAAAGGAATTCGCTCTCTCAAAGGGTTATAAGAAAACAGCACCGATCTCAAAATATGCTACCACCTTTTCTCCATCCCTAAACCATCAGTAAATCTCACCCTCTCTTTATAGCTTACCTCTCGCGGCTTTTGCTTCCACGAAGAGACGCTGAAGGTTCAAACCTTCTTTGCGATCTTTCCAAAGTAGATATTTACGTCTCTCTCCCTCCCTCTCTCTCTCTCTCTCTCTCTCTCTCTCTCTCTCTATCTCTTTCCTTTCTGTCTGTATATTTCTTTTTATTTTTCTTTTTTTCTTTCTTTCTTTCTTCCTTACTCGATGGTACACCACCAAGGCTACTATGTACCTTCAAGCATACTAAAACGAAGACTCTCGAATCTCTTTCTTTCGTGTCACGATCGTTCATGCCACGACCTTTTCAAAATATCGAACGAACTGCTTCAGTTTCGTCGATATCAAGGATCTTACGAGCCGAACGATTCGTGCTAATCTTTGAAAAAAAGTAAATAAAAGAAAAAAAATACTTTCCAACCGAAATAAATGAAAAGTGATTCGTATTATTATATGAATAATATAAAGTATAGAAAGTGATGGATATTTCATTCGTGTAAATTTAATGAGATGATTTATTAAATTTCATTTTATTATTTTCTTTAAAATTTTACGACGAATAAAAAAAGAAAAGAAAAATAAACATTTACGAATAAAATTCTTTGCTCAACAAAAGGAAGTATTTAATTCTATCGTCAGTTACATTGGTTTAGTTTCTCAAACCTTTCAGAGAACTAGAGAATTAATTAAAGTTACTTACTCCAACGTTTAGAATTTACACGAATACATATAACATACCTATTTGTAAATCCTTTGTATAATGTTATCGAACAAAAGTTCTTTGAAAAAATACACTAAAAAGTATATATAATAGTCTAAATTTAATTTGTTTTAAACAATTTCACGTATTTACATACGTTTGCATACCAAACTAAATAAACAAAAATACGTATGAAATGCATTTAAATTATTTTCATTGGATTTTTTTTTTGTAAGTGGATTCATTTTTTTTTTTTTTTATTTTTCCATAATTTATCACGAAGAGAAGAGTTATTTAAAAAGATTTCTTTATAATCGAAAAAAGAAAAAATAAAAGGTAATATAACGTAAATAATAGAGAAAAACATCAAGAAGAATGTATATACTCCCTTTAACGTTTTACTTAAAGAGAGAAAACGATGGAGTCGCGTTCCAATGGAACGAAACGAGAACCAAGATAAAAACTTTTTAACCTCGATAAAGTTTTCGAGCGAAAGAATGGTCAATATACGTTCCTATGAGTTCATCCAGTCGAATAAAATAAAAACTGTCATAATGTTGTATCTCACGATTAGTTTGTCACATGCGCAAATTAATTAAATTCATTACTTTAATACGAATTAAAATATATAAATATAATATGATTTGTAATCAAGTTTTTTTTTCATTGATTAAAATGAATTTTATTTATTTATTAGTAAATATTTGAAACAACAAAAACATAAAACGATCCATTTTATTCTTTCTTTTTTTTCAGAGGAAGTATTCAGTTCTAACAAAGCATTATGGTTTTCACCGAACGGCTCGAAACTGGCTTTTGGCTACTTCAATGATACCTTGACACCGGTTATGAACATACCATTTTATGGATTTCCAGGAAGTTTGACTTTCCAATACACGTCGGCTATACCGATTCACTATCCCAAGGTAAGCACCGAAACTCCGTTTAGCCTTCGAGTCATACAGGACGATGTTAGCTTTTCGAAATGTATATCTAGGATAGCCATTGGCAAGTTATCATTGTTCATGGTATAAGTAGTTCCGTCAATGATTAAATCCGCTGTTAAAACGAAAAAGAACAATTATCTCGGCTATTTCTATTCTTCATTATATATAATAGTTACGTATTGAATAGAACGTAATGAATGATAACGAAATTATATAATTCTTCGTCATTGTCGTTTCTTTTTTATATTATTTTATTTTATTTTATTTTATTTTTATTCATTTTTATTTTTCTTTATTCGTATATTTAATTTATTTTTACTTTTATTTATTCATATATTTATTTTTTCTTTCTTTTTTTTTTCTTTTTTTTTTTTTTTCATAAGAATACTACTCTGAAGCTTAATTTTCAATACACTTATAAATATTCTATTAATTTCGATAAGCGATCAAATATCACGATCTATTGGCAATCCAATTAGCTGCAATCGTGCAAATTAATCGCACGCCTAGCTCGAGTACCGTGTCACGCGTGCGTCACAAATGATTACATAGACGTAGTTAGTTAATTGCTTTACGAGTCAACGATACTACACTAGCATCGTTGTCGTCGTCGATCGATAGGAACACCTACTTGTCGAATTTGCGATTAAATTATCCTACTTATTAAGTACCTTCACGAATACTCGCGAACACAGAAACATAAATTTTCATATTCGGACTTTTATTTTGACGTAATTGTCATGATCGTTCCGTTCTTTCTTATTTAACGATAATTTGAATAATTTGTCTTAATATAAAAACGTATGGAAAATTAGTTTTCATGATAAAGGTGAAAATATCGTGGCACTTTAGAATACCACGACCTTAAAGTGGGTGCTCTTCGAGTCTCTCTCTCTCTCTCTCTCTCTTTCTCTCTCTCTCTCTGTCTATCTCTGTCTCTATCTCTATCTCTATCTATCTTTATCTCTATCTCTATCTCTATCTGTCTTTCTCTCTCTCTCTCTCTCTTTTTCTCTGACGCGTTGCGGTACCCTCGTTTAAAGATTAAAAGCCTTCTAACTAGAGTTTAAAGCTGAGAGTAGGAAAGGATAGGACCGAACGAGATACCTTTGCATTTTTCAACACTCTTTTGTAAGTCGCGATTAATGTCACCAACTTTAAAAAAAGAGATGGTATCTCGGTATCAAAATAAAAGAAAAAAGAAAAAACAAAAAAAGAAAAAAAAAAGAAAAAAAAGAAATAAAGAAAGAACAATAGAATGCCAAACCGACCGACATGAAATATAAAGGTATATTTCAAATTTTTATATATACGATTTATTCGAAATGCGTAGAATATTCTTACTTACGTATGTACGTGTATATATAATGTATATATGTAAAAAAAAAAAAAAAAAAAAGAAAAGATAAAAGAAAGAAAGAAGAAACTTATTTTGCAATTTTTCCCCCTTGTCCCTCGAGGAAAAAGAAACAATCTCAGCTGATTTGTTCGACCCGCGTTTACCTCGACTTAAATAACACGTGACTTCCATTAAAAGTATCCCTCCTTCCCTCCGTCACACCACTCTTCTTCTATCAAGCTATTCGATTTCCTTTCGAACAAAAAATCATTTTAGTTGGGAAAGGGAATTTAAAGAGCAGAGACACCATCCAGCTTAAGGGAGCTATCCAATAGATTAAAAAAAATACATCTCCATAGGCGAGAGCTGACAAGCTTCGTTCACTGAGTATGCTTTTAAAGAGACGCATCCCATTATTTTGATTTCAAGCTCGCCTTAAAAGAGGCTGATTCGATGAAAACAAATGAAAGTTCTTTTGTTTTTTTTTTTCTTTTCATTCCTCATTTTTTTCTTTTCTTGTTTTCGTTCTTTCTCGAGAAAAAGAAAAGTGATTTCTGACTTTTTCCTTTCCTTTTCTTATTTCTTTTTTTTTTCTTTTTTTTTTTCTTTGCACATTCTTTCACCGTCTCTATCTACTGTTTTTATTATCATTTCAGAGTGGCACGAAGAATCCTACCGTAAAGCTCTTCTATGTCGATCTCGAGGAGGTGGTACGTGGTAACACGAGATTAATCGAGATCGAGCATCCTACGGAATTGTCGTATGTTGAAAGGATATTGTCGGCCGTTAGTTTTCCTACCGATAATCACGTGTACGCAACTTGGATGAACAGGGTACAGAATATGGCATACTTCCGACTATGCGACGTTGGCAGTCACGTACCAAATTGTACGACGGTAAGTACAACTTTCTCTCTCTCTCTCTCTCTCTCTCTCTGCCTTGTTTCTTTGTTCTTTTCATGGTCAATTTTGCAATAATAGCGGAACCCTTCGTATCCCTCAACAACCCTCGTTCCTTCTCTTCTCTTAATGGACACTACTAACATAAGTCGTAATCTTGACGACCTAACGCGAAGCATGCGTATACACACATACATTTATATATATATATATATATATATATATATATATAATACGCGTGTATGTATATATATGTGCATACTGTACGTGTCTGTACGTGTAGGTGCGCGCACACACAAATTGAATACACTTCTTGCAGTAGTAATTGTGGTGGTGATGGTGGTGATGGTGATGGTGGTGGTAGCCATTCGCTTTGCGATATTCTAAAGCTACACTGGGACCTGTCAAAGACGAATGCTGCTTAATTACACTTCGTCTAGTTCTCTCGGTTACTCTCTTCTCTCGTTTCTCGCCATCGGAGAGAAAGGGACCATTTGAAAGCGCGAAATTACGCGATCAGAAACGGTGAGACTGTTCTCTTGCTACATTTCTAGGTTTATATGTGTCTATGTGTCTACTCGAACGTTTGTTGTCGATAAGTTTACGAACGCTTGCTTACGTCGTTCCGCTAATTGATTCTTGTGAATCCGCGTTCTGTCAACTGGAACATTTCAATTAATACTGTTATTCGATTAAACAGAGATCCGACGGAATGATTTGACATAGACCACTACGTAAATTGCTTCGATGGGAGGAAATATTATTCGCTCGTTAAGAGAACTCGATAAAGTGAGCTATCGATTTGTGTACAATTTCAAAGTCGGAAATAGTGAATACCCTTTCTCTTCGTTTTATTCCATATTTAAACAATAATTTAAATTTATTTACGTTTATAAAAAAAAAAAAAAAAAAAAAAAAAAAAAAAAAAAAAAAAAAATACAGAAAAACGTAGAAAAGTAATTTACGTTGAAAAAATAAAAGAAAAAAGGAAAGGAAAAAAAAGAAAATAAAAAGAAAACAAATTATTTTTGCAGGCTCTAACTTACATCGAGAAGAACGGTTGGGTCGAACAATTCGAAGCGCCATTGTTCAGCAAGGATGGCACTTCTTTCTTGTTAATATTGCCAAGAAAACAAAAGGACCATACAGATTGGAGACATCTTGTTTTGATTAAGAATGCAACGAGTGTAAATCCGATTACGGTTTCTCTAACTTCCGGCTACTTCGTCGTAACTGAAATAGTTGCATGGGATCAAGAGAATTCATATGTGTAAGTATAATCTATGATATCCTTAAGTTCGAATCACAAATGGAATAGAACAAACCTGCTTTGTATATAACCAAATTGTACAGCTGTATTATATAGGCTGCATAGTTCGAGCAGTTACTGGCTCGGTGATCCTGGAATCGGCAATTAGAATGCAACTGAATTACTATGAGAATTTGCATAACTCCTACATTGATGCGGATTTGATTTAATCCATGAATACCGATGCGATGATGGTGTTTAGTTCTTTTCTTTTTTTCTTTTCATTTTTTGTTCTGTCCTGCTTTCTTGGCAAAGACAATCATTGTTAAAAAAAAAAAAAAAAAAAAAAAAAAAAAAAAAAGAAAAGAGCACGTACATCCATTGACAAATTCGATTTTCTCGTTTAAAAGAAAGAAAGAAAAATTACTAAAATCTTGAATATCAAGAAAGGAAAATTTTCAATAAAAATATTAATGTTATATTACAATTTATGTTATATATTCTATTAACGTTCTCCCCAAACCTCGCCGCGAGTGTATTTTCTGTAAATGCATATTTAACCGCAAAATTGGGGATAATCAATGGTTCCATACGGACCTTTCGTACGTAGCGCACCTGAACGTAATATTCCTAAAGCACGCTAGTCCATCGATTAAATAATCATTAATAACTCTTTCACGCGCTAATTGCTTTGCCGCTGAGGTTCAACACTGCCTGTTATCCACTGAGGGACGTTATTTTCATTATAAATTAATTAATCTTTTGACTATCGAAATTCCCTTTCTACAGCGAATCGGAAACATTGGTTTATTATAAAACTTGATGACGCAAAAAAAAAAAAAAATTCATACCAATGATACAAAATTATTTCTGATTCTAATTCATACCAATGATACAAGATTCTATACTTCGAGAAGTTATAGTTTGAAATAAAATAGAGAGAAAAAAAATTTATATATAAAGAAAAAGATCGTAAAAAAGAAAGTTAATGTATATAGTTGAAAATTCGGTTACGGAGATCACAAGAATAATTTCGCTAGCAACGAATACTAACACGCATTTTAGTTTTATCAACGAATTAATTCCATCGCATTAAGATCTTGAAGTAAGGAATTAATCAGTGTCTCGAAAACTTAATCGAAACTCCGCAGGTTCGAGTTTGCAAGAGCAACCGAATTAAACAGATTCACAAGTTAACTTTCTCCAAGGGTGAACATCGTACGAATTCATTCGCCCTTTCTCTTTTCCACTAGTCTACACATATATTATCACTTTGCTTGAAATTAACACCTTTCAAGATGGACCGCTTGATAAAACTACGTATCTCCATTTTCCCCGAATCTGACAAGTTTTAAAGAATTTTTTTATCGATCTAACAATTTATCATGAACATTATTATATATATATACATATATATATATATATATATATATATATATATATATACGTGACACGTAAATCATTCGATTTTTACATTATAGATATTTTTTATCTGTACGACATGAATCATTCCATCGTTTTAATGTAATATCGTGGTAATTAATTACATGAATTTATCTTTACAAGTCATATTCGCATATATATATATATATATATATATATATATATATATTTTCACATATTAAAAGGAAATATCGAATTTGAAAATTATTTGTTACTAACTCGACTCATATAGTCTGCAGTAATCATCGTGTAGGTGTATAAGAGAAGCAGCTTATCCAGAAAGCTAAAGATATTCAGAAAGATAGTGAACGAACGAAATGGTCCGGAAGTAATTTACGAAGTGAGAGCAGAATTTCTCCGAATTTTGTTCTCTCTCTCTCTCTCTCTCTCTCTCTTTCTCTCTTTCTCTCGCTCTCTCCTCTCCCTCTTTATCTTTCTTCACGTTTCGACTGCAGCAAATTTAAACAGAGAAAGAGAAAGATATAGAGATAGAAATACAGATAGAGAGAAATAGAGATAGAATAGAAAGAGAGAGAGAGAGAGAAAGATAAAAAAGGAGGCTAGTCCATGGTGTAGATTTCTCCGCAAGAAGTCGCCGACTTAATTGCGCGTTCATAAATTAAATGAAATCTCCTACGAGTGACTGCGCGAATCCTGTTTTTCCGCGTCTGCGGATCTTCCCCACTCAATGCTGAGTGCCGTTGTAAATACGTCCTCTCTCCTCTCTCTCTCTCTCTCTCTCTCTCTCCCTCTCTCTCTCTCTCTCTCTCTCTCTCCTCTCTCTCTCTTTCTCTCTCTTCCTCTTTCTCTTTCGCATTTGAAGCCAAAATAGGAAGTAAAGCGCGTCCTTTTCTCCTTTCTCTGAAGTACCTACGATTATGGAAAGCAAATATCCAAGCCTTTCTTCTCTACATCACATTTTCATTTCTTCCCATTTTCCGGAGTGCGTTGTCACGCGGAATAATCGCATATTACCTTGTTCTGTCTTCGCCATGGTAAATACACAAGATATTCTTTAATAATTGAAAGAGATGTCAAATCGAAATTTCTTAATTGCTGTTTCTATAATACTCGAATATTCTATTGAATATTTTAATGCACCTTTCAAAGAATACCACTTTCCTTTTTTTTTTTTTTCATATTTCGAAACGTATCTTTCAGCATATCCCTTAGTTGGAAAAACTGATGTATGCTCGTTCATAATTTTGATCTCTTTAAATGAATCATGAATACGAATTTTCTTCTCTCTCTTTCTCCCTCTCTCTCTCTCTCTCTCTCTCTCTCTCTCTCTCTTTTTATCTCTTTCTAAATTTTCTTATATTTCCATATGTTAATGGAAAAACGGATTAGACTGGTCGTGCCGATTTTTCAAGTAAGTAAATAAAATTGTAACTAATTGCCATGTAATCCCCTAGAAATTACTCGAGCAGCCTGTACGGAATAAAGAGAGAGAAATAAAGTGAGATGAAGAGAGACAGAGAGAAAGAGAAAAAAAGAGCAAAAAAGAGGATTTTAAAACCCGCATTTCGAATGTATTTTTCTTTTTCTCTGACAATTCACTCGGCAGCCTTCAGTTCTGGGCTTCATTTTCTTTACTTTTACCTTTCGATTTTCTTTCGTCGAGAAAGTAAAGAACTCTCGCAAACGCGGGAATTAAATTTGCAAATGACAAATATTTATGCAGTTTAACGTAAATGGTATATAGTTATAATATATTAGAGAAAATATAGGTACTTGAATTTTTCTACGTACTACGTTTACGAAAGTACTTTTCGTTTTTGAAAAGAAGAATTATCTTCCCGTTTATATTATAGTATCAGATAGAAAAATATTCGAAGAAAGAAATATAAGAAGTGGACGAGAGAGTTGCCGGAAACTGTCTTCTTTATTCGCTGTATTTCATATTTATTTTTCAGAAGAAGATCCTTTCAGCGATATTCAACGAACCGTTCAAGCATTTTCGCTCCTTTACAAATTTTACCAAGACGATGATCAGTATTTGTCCCAAGTTCGTTATTATAAACTTTTTCAATCGTAACTTTTACGAAAAGGAACATGGAAGGGAAAAAAAAGAAAAAAAAGAAAAAAAGAAAAGAGAGAGAGAGAGAGAGAGAGAGAGAGAGAGAGAGAAAGAAAGAGCGACATTGTCAGCAAACAATGTGCGTATAACAAAAGTGGGTCGGCGATAGTCTAAAAGAAGTAAATTCGACGAGAATAAGCAATTTTAATATTTTTTTACGAAGTACATCGTTCTCTTTCACGAGATAGGTTGCTGCTTACCTATTACCTGCGTACTAGGTTCACTAACAGGTTAATTCAAGCAGCTGTTTTACCATTCATATTTTTTGTCCTAAAGGTTCAGTTCAGGGGAGGTTATGGTTTTGCTTAAAATGATCCCACCGTTACTACATCGTTGTATCAAAGAGGAGCAACGGGCTGTCATCCGTTTCTTCTTACGGTTAGTCGAAGGCTTACGTTCAAAAGCAAAAATTTACAAAAGAATGTTATAGCGCTATGATAACAACTACTTAGCCTGAGCATAAAACTCGGTAGGAAAGAGGGCTCGGCTTCTTTTTTTTGCTTACTTTCCCGTCTCTCCTCTCTCTCTCTCCCTCTCTTTCTTTTTCCTTTCTTTCTTCTTTTCATTTTTTTGTTAAAAAAAGAAAAGAAAAAACGAAATAACAAAAAAAAAGATTTAAGAAACAAACAGGTTTGACTAATCAACGAAGGTGAACGATTTTCGAGCTAGTAGAAAAGAAGAGTACGTTGAGTGAATAGATGAGAAAAAGATGATCAGAAGAGGGAAAAGATGAAAGAGGAAAGAGAAGGATAAAGTAAGAACGTGATGAGTAAAGTAAAAGAGATAGAAAGAAATAAAGAGAGAGAAAGAGAGAGAGAGAGAGAGAGAATGAGAAGAAAGAAGAAAAAGAAAGATGGTTAGTAGAGAAATGAAAAGAAAAATAGCCGGAGAAAAAGAAATACAAGAAGATCGATGAAAGGGGTCGACTTTAATTGTAAAAGAACGAGCTAATAGCTGAGAACTGAAAGGCAATCAATAAATTTGTCGCCGAAACTCTTCGTTCCTTGAAAAGCTTTTGATTAGATTAAGATTATCCGTAATGATTACAAGTTTCGAACGATTTTACAAAAGAAAAAAAAATGTATCTTCGCTTTAAGAGAGACGAAAAAAGAACACAAATACGAATGGGAGAAAAATACTGAATCTTCAACGATTCTATACTGAGGGTGATGAATTTTTGAAGTGAACCACGGTAGGGTAGAAAAGTTAGATAAGCAGTGTGTGTGTGTGTGTGTGTGTGTGTATGAGAAAGCCCTGGAAGAGATAAAGCAAGTGCGAAAGCATGCGGTTTTTTTTCAACGGAAGCTCTGGAAATGTTCTGACGTTGATTTGAAATTTGTTACGGCTCGTTCTTCTAGAAAATTTGAAAAACTAAAAGTTCAGATCTTTATTTTAGATCATGATTTCGTCTAACAGAAAAATATAATGCTATCAAGTGTTATAAACGATCAAAAATTGTCACATGAATTTATCCGTTTCAACCTATACTTTTAATATATAATGTAAAACATAATTATATAATTATATTATATAATGTAATTATATGTATAATTAATATGTATAATATGTATAATATGTATAAATGTATAATTATATGTATAATTACATTATATAATATAATTATATAATTATGTAATGTATAATTATATAATGTAAAACATAATAATGTAAAACATATATATATATATATATATATATATATATATATATACCATAATGATGATAAGTAAATAAGTAAATATATAATTTAAGTATCTTGAAACTAGAATTTTTTTTTTAACTTAGACATCATTAAATGTGACATTCCTTTAAGAGAAACTGAACGTAAAAAAAATTTCGTTCGATCTAAAGCAAGACTCATTTGTATCGTTACTCACGCATAGTTAATGAACTTAACCGAGTTAGCTCGTTATACCATGCAACTCATCGGTACTACATTGGAAATGTGCAAGAAGGAAGGAGGTCGGTTGTAGGATGCGGAGTAATGCGCATGAATTAATCATTAAGGCGATATAAACGCGAAGGGTTAAGGAAGGAGTTGAGGGTGAGAGGGATGCTGTTGGCATTCGGAAGTTATTCGCCGATGCTGCATTTACGGTTCGCGCATGCTTCAACACGATACTCAATGTAGAACAAGTCAAACATGCTTAAACGCCCGATATATGAAGATCGATCAAAGAGAATACCAACCAGATGCGAAAGGGTGAGAAGTTCTACGAACAGAGAAGGATCCTTTCTAACTTTACCAACAATTCTATTCGAGAAACAGACGGACAGACACACACAAAGAGAAAGAGAGAGAAAGAGAGAGAGAGAGAGAGAGAGAGACTTAAATCTATCTAATTTTAACTCTTAAACTTAATAATTTATTTTATTCATAGAGATATATGAATGTTAATAAATATTTAATAGTATAAATAATGTAAAAAATAATTTCGTATAAATAATGTAGAAAATATATATTAAAACTTGATTATTTTTATATACTTATTGTCATCATCATCGTCATACACGAGAATCATATTAGCAAACAATTTCTATATGTAATTTTTACGATAGGATTTATATGAAAGATCTTTTTTTTTTCGAACTGGATATTAAATCGTCTATTCGATAATGAAAAAAAAAAAAATTTTGTTTTAATTGAACGATATTTCCAATAAAAAGGATCGAATAAATGTCGTGCGAAATACGTGCTCGGTTAGTTTCAACTTTCATTCTCAGTATCGGAAAAGAAGAAAATGAATGAGAATCCTATTCTTCGAATGAACAGACAATCACGAACGATAATCCTTTTCCTTCCTTCTATTTTAGAAAATAAATTCTGTCGAAGATTTTTAATGGAATATCAAAACTTTAAATCACAAAAAATTACTGGTCGTTTCACTTCTCGTTTATTAATACGTGCTATAATAACCGCGTAAACACTTAACGTTTAAAAAGTGTTCTCGTGCAAAGTAGCAATTAGAAACTATTAAAGTTGATATTCTTAAAAAAGCATTCGCGAGATTATGAAAAACTAGACGTTAAAAAAGGAAAAGAATTAAACGCGTTCAACGCATATTTTTGTTACCATTAAACTGCTAAGCGAGTTTAATTGCTAGATAAGTATTATTAATTATTCTGTAAATCTCTTCAATTTTTTTTAAAGACGAGATTAATGCAATCAACATTGTTAATCAACATTCGCGATAGAAGATTTTTCATTACATTAGAAGATTTTTTATTTTAAACAAAATTTTCAATTAGATTCATTATCATTTTCATATTTATTTATCTATGTAAATATATATGACTTTAAATAACAAATTATGTGAACGTAATCTAATATTTGATATATCGTTCATCCACTGTAGCAAAAAAAGCGATGCTTCAGATTTCAAGTTGATTTGTTAAAAAACGTTTTATAAAAAGAAAAAAAAAAAGAGATCAATTGATTAAAAATATTTTAATTGTTTTTTAGTTTTTATTTGAAAATACATAAACGTGATAGTTACGAGGAATTTAACCGTGCTGCGGTTTCATCCTAATCGATCGTTTACTGATAATTTCAACATTCCAATTGTTTTCAATTCTTGTTTCAACCGCGTTATTCAAATAGTTTGAGATAGCAAATTTAGAACATTTCTATCTCTCTCTCTCTCTCTCTCTCTCTCTCTCTCTCTCTCTCTCTCTTTTCTTGTCAAATTGATCTAATTAAAGGAAGAGAAATAACGATTTCGTGGTACGACCTATTAAGGATATTTCCAAATTTCGATAAAATCGAAGTAAACGACGTAACCAAGGTTCTGAACTTTCATTGGCTACCTTGATTTTGCCTTTGATCCTAAACAACAAACTTTCTTCGATTCCACATGACTTGGAGTATTACTAAAGTATGAAGAGAATTGAACAAAAGGGAAAGGTAGTAATTCAATTTTACAAGATAATAGTTCTGAAATACTAGTTCGAAAGCTCTACCCTTATCTTTTCTCTCTCTTTCTCTCTCTCTCTCTCTCTCTTTCTCTTTCTCTCTCTTTCTCTTTCCTTCTCACTTAACATCTATACAGCAATCGTCGAAGCGAAGCAACCAACTGAGTACTCGAACAGAACAGTAGTTTCGCGGAACTGGCAAGATGGATGAGTCTGGGGGTCATTCAAATTGGATTAATTTGAGCATGTTGTTAATTTGGCCTATCGCATCAATCTTAAAGGACTTTGTCTACTCCTCCTTATACTCTCTCTCTCTCTCTCTCTCTCGCTCTCTCTCTCTCGCTCTCATTCATTCGTTCGCTATTCATCTCCTACATAAACAACTTCCTCGAATACGTGACACTCGATGTTGATTCGCGTTTCGTCTTTTACCAAAAGAAAATCAATCGATCTTCGGCCAAACTCGAAATAACGATCAATGAAAATGTTCTCCTACGAGATATAAGAAAATTCGTTAGAAAACTTTGGAAATTATCGTCTTTTTTCTATCGTTTCACCAACGATTTTAACATACCCTTTATCGAGTTAAGAATTAAGAATTCTATTTTCTTGACAGCATATTAATTTAGCAGTAACTTTCGGACGTATCTCGTCCGTCTCTGAATAAATGAATACGAGTTCGTCTACTTTCGATTGCCAAATAACACTATTCGTTATTATGAAAGTTTTTGAAAGTTCATGACACGATAAAAGTTCTATAATTTGTAAGATATTTGTTGAAATTAATAGCCAAAGGAATTTTACCAATTTCAGATGGAAATGTTTGAAGAAGCTGTCTTTCGAGTATTCTCTCTCTCTCTCTCTCTCTCTCTCTCTCTCTCTCTCTCTCTTTCTCTCTCACACTCTCTTTCTGTCTCTCTTTTAACTAAGGAAACGTTTTCTTTGGGTTAGTTAGGTATGTGTCTTATGAAAGGCTTTGAGCAGAGTAATCTCAAGTTGGCGAAGCTTCGTTGCATCTGCGCTTGAATTCTCTTCTCTTCACAAAGAGAGGAAGTGATAGAGAGGAAGAGAGAGAGAGGGAGAGCGAGAGAGAAAGAAAAAGATAGAGAGAGAGAGAGAGAGAGAGAGAAAGGAAGGGGATATAGGAGAGTTATCGTTTAGAAACGTGATAACACACAGTAAAACGACCCACTTTTCTAATATTACCGCTAGTAGGTGCGTATTTCAACACTCTTTGATTTCTGAAGTAAACGAGATCCGAAGTAGATCGAATTTTTTTATTTTATTTTAAATTTTATTTTCATGAACGATATCTGGCTAAACGTTTCCAAAATGGTATGATATAAATAATCATGATTACACACAATTTTATTTTAAACTGATAACAAATAGAATTTTTGTTCCGAATAATTGTCCAACGTATTATTAAAAAATGTATAATTCAATATAACAAATCCATTTTACCGATATTTCTAGATAATTGATAGATTCGATATGAATTTAGAGAATGTATTTCGTTGAAAACTTTTTATTAGTAACGTAATTATAAAAAAAAAATCATCAAATTCGACGAACAAATAAATCGAGGTACGGGATTATTTCGACGAGCGTTCAAAGATTGTTTTTTATTGTTTTTGTATTTTATTATTTTTTTGTTTCTTTTTTTTTCAAAATAGTTTCTATCTCATCCTTGTAAATTAATCGTCGTTCGCTTCGATTAGATACTTCAAAGTTTTTACAGATAATCCAAACAAATGAGTTATTAAGGGAAAACACGTAGTAACAAATTACAAACTATAGTGTCCGTCTATCGAAACGAGAATTTTCATCTCGAATTTTCAAATTGTATCTCTTGTAAAAAAAAAAAAAAAAAAAAAAGAAACAGTAAAAACGATTAACGTAACGTCGCTTCGAAAATATTTTAAAAAGATATTGACCATAATATTCTATCTCATTTTTTTCTCTCTCGGAGGTTCGTTATATCTTCTTTTTTTTTTTTTTTTACTCAGTTTTAATAAAATTCGCAAATATAAAGTTTAAATAAAATAGCCATAACTGAATATATATATTAAATATGAAAATATTAAATGAAATATCTACGGTATGAATTTTTAACATGAGACAATTAAAAATTCTATTTAATTGTTTCAGATACTATCTCGCCACGTCCGAGCATAAGACAGGACAACAGCATTTGTACCGACTGTCTCTGTCGACATTGAACGCCCAACCCAAATGTCTCAGCTGCGACATCCTCAGAGAATCCGATAGCACCCGGTGTTTGTACAATACTGCCAAGTTCTCTACCGACAATTCATATTACGTGCTAACCTGCGCTGGCCCTGGTGTACCGGAAATTTTCATTTATAACAAAGTAAGTATTATTCTTTTAAAAATATTTCTTTGTTTCATTATGTTTAATCATTCGACGGTATGAATATCTATATATTAAAAAAAAAAAAAAGGTCTGAAATTAAATCAATTAGTCGAAGAAAACTATGTCGATAACACAAACACAATGTCGATTCTGATAAAAAAAAAAAAAAAAAATAAAAAGAATACCAACAACAACAAAAAACCATTCGCTCGTATTCGAATTAAACGATGTCCAATTATCAAACAAAGTCAAAGGCTCCAATAAATAAAAATTCACGGTATAACACACATACACACATAATATATAGACACGCACACAAGGAGATCTATTCTTCTCATGCATTTAATTCATTCTATGGGAATACATTGTACGAGTCACTGAAGTTTACAGAAGTAAAAACAAAGAAAAAAATAAATCTTCTCGAAACGACTTTGCTCAAAAGAAACACTTAAAAAGGGTTGAAAGACAATAGTAGCGATCGGCAATTATCGAAGAGATTCGAGAAGACAAGAGAGAAAAATATTCTTTCAGTGAAAAGCATACGACGACTTGACGGGATCCATCAAACAGTAACTGAAAGTAGAAACAGAACCCTTCCGCGATACTGACAGGTCAAAGAGAAGCTCGTTTATTCCCCGTCGAGCCTACTTTTACCAAGTGGAAATCTTCCAGTCGTATATTATCCCTACAACCCCTTACATCCCTTTCTTTATTTAGCTTTATATACTTTACCTTTTTCTCTATTGTCTTTTTCGCACTCACGAAGACATAAATGTATATTTTCCATTGTTTAACGATCGAACCTCTGACTCATGAATTTCTCATTATTCTTTTAGAAACTGAATAAAAAAAAAAAATAAAAAAAGAAGATATCTTTTATCTTGAATTCGATTTCACCAAATAATTTAATGAACTATCGGATTATTACATTAAAAAACTTCGCTTTAAAAAAGAAATACGATTTTACTTATATAGCTTCTTAAACGTTTCTTTTCTTATCGTCTAATGTGTATGCCATTAAATTAATTATAAACAATATTGATAACTTCTTAATTCGAACTTCTTAACATTCGCCATTCTGCGAAATAGGAGTTTTAACAAGCAAACGCGTCAACTATTACCATTATAATCGAATTAGCACTCAGTGAATGGATAAGGAGGAAGGAAATAAGGGAAAGTAAGAAAATTAGGAAAAGCTTCTAGTATTGGATGAGCCATGAAAGAGAGAAAGAGAGAGAGAGAGAGAGAGAGAGAGAGAGAGACGGAGAGAAGAGGAAAACCGGGAAAGGAGTAGGACGATCTTATCACGATCGAAAGAGACAAAAAGGCACACGAACGCAAAGATCTGACTAGTCTGCATCTTTATCGCTTACTCCGACACGGCTGGATAGTGCCGGTAATTAGTTTTCCTCAGACTGCTCCGGTAATTACGTTGGGTGCCTTCCTTTTCTTTGTATACGTGTGTGTATGTGTAGGCGCGTCGGAAAAGGATAGAAAAGAAAAAGAAAGAAAGAAAGAGAGGAAGAGAGAGAGAGAGAAAGGGGGGAAATGTGGGTGGAAAGGAAGGAGAAAAAAAGGAAAAAGAAACAAAAGAAAAATAGGTTTTTCTCTTTGAATTCCTCTTTATGTACATTATCTTCTTCTTTATTTCGAAGTATTGTCTGAAAATAAATCGAACATATTGTTAATCACTCGATAATCTTCTTAATACTTCGAGATGATCTCCCTTTAATAAATTTCCCTTTATCCCAAGGAAACGATATATAAAGTTTTGTGATAAATCAAGATTTCAGGTAAAGATCTATTATCATTGAATTCAGTAGAAAGTTCTCCTTTCGTTAGAAAATTTTAAGAACGTTTAATTGAAATTAATCCATGTTTTAGACGGCTCGAAAGCTTTGTTCCATTAACGACTAAACATTATACAAACTTCCGACCGCTTTTGGTAAGCGTTTCAATATGCACGTCGCTATAGTGCTTAGAAACGTCATTGTTTGGGAAATGCTTTACGTATACGAAATAGAAGCTCAAGAGAGAAATCGAATCAAGTGTACTTACGGGATTAGGAAAGTCTCTCGAGTATATCTAATTAACATTCATAAAAATAATGATTTAATGAATTGACGTGACTCGCGTATTATTTTATTAATTTTTTGAAAATTATGACTTAACGCAAATCCCCCCCCCCTCCACTTCTCCTCTCGTACCAACCAGAAAGTATCATCGTGTATTTTTGATCGATATAAATATTGCATTGTCATTTTTGTTTCAGAGTGGCAAAGAAATTGCTATCTGGGAAGATAACGAAGCCGTTGCCGAACTATTAGCGTCGAAGGCTCAACCGATTGTCCATAAGTACAAAATACCAGTTCCCGGTGGTTTTAATGCCCAGGTGAGGCTTCTGATCCCACCCGATGCTGATTTGAGCGGTACCACCAAGTATCCTATGCTGGTTTACGTGTAAGTCATTCGGTTATTCCATACCTTTAATTTATCCCGATAATCTTACCCCGTTTCACTTTGTCTTTGTATTCAACTTTTCTTTATCGCTGATTATTTATTCATTCGCTTTATGATTATATATTATTTCTCTTTTCCCACCGTCTCAATCGTTTTTATTTCATTTTGCGTTTAAAATTTAGTTTGCTTGTTATAATTGATCATGGTTAAAAAATAATTTTAATTAAAAAATTTATGAACACGAGATATTTCATTGAAAGTATTGAAACTTGATAAGCGATTTAAATAATTTAATGTGAAATTATGGTACATGATATATATATATATATATACATATGTACATTGTAATATTATATTATAAAATATATATCATACATGTAACAATTTAATAGTAACCCATATAAAAGCAACGCTCGAAGTGAAAATCATATGTATCTTTTGGCCAAGAGATTATTTTTCGACAAGGTATTCTCTCTCTCTCTCTCTCTCTCTCTCTCTCTCTCTCTCTCTTTCCCTCTTTCCCTCTCTTTCTCTTTATTCGTAACACTGATAAAAATGTGTTCCGCGTCGCATCTATCTTCGCAAATTTACATATCGCGCGCTCACGCTTATGTAACTCCTCCCCTCTCACACTCTCCCCCCCTTCTCCAATCTTTCGCAGCCTTGTTGGTTAGGATATACTCCCCCTACACAATCGAGTGTTTTCAACGAAAGCACTTAACTCTCGTCTAGCCTGGCGAACTTTTAGCATCGACTTTTTCCTCGATACACACATATCTTCGCGGTCAAAGGTGGCTACGGAGGTACGCGGAGAAAAGAGAAGGGAAAAGAGATAGAGATAGAAAGAGAACGAAGAGCACTAAAAGCATCCATATTTTCTTTTCTCCCGGCGGGAAATATGACGATGCATCACGAGTAGATCATCAATCGGTTACGGCGTAACATATCTATGTTCCTTACGTACTCAAGCCGGATACGGCAGTGATAAACGAAAAAGTACGATTGAACGTTCGTCTTCTTTGATAGAAGAAGAAGAAGTTTAAAGGGGGAAGGGGAAAAGAGAAAAAAAAAGAAAAAGAAAAGAGAAGTTGAAACTTCCGGGCGTTGCACCTTAGGAATAAAACATTTCACGATGACGTCGTTCCCCGAATCGACGCGACGAACGCTTCATTTCTCTTTTCTACTCGCGATCTAGCAATAAATTTCTATTCCGAACGTGCCGAGACAAAAAAAAAGGAAGAGAGAAAGAAAAAATCGTAGATCGAGTTAAGTTACCTGAAGGATATATCGCCAGACGATATTTCTACATTTTGCAAAAGAGTAGATGCATGTGCAATAGTAGCGAACCTGCTGCTTAAAAATATGTGTCACTGTCGAATCGAATAGAACATAAATCACGTTTTCTTTCATAAAAATTGACCTGATTAAGAAAAATACAGGAAACATTGTGTTACGTGAACCATCGAACGGAACCCCGATCCTTTCTCTGTCAATCTTGTATTTTTTTTCTTTTTCTTTTTTTTTTTTTTGTAAATTCCTTATCACTGCAAATATTTCTTTCTTTTTTATTTCTAGCATTCGAATATCTTTCGATATTCAAAAAAAAAAAAATCAAAAGCTCGCTCACGATAATAGACATTTCAAAATCGTTCCTATAAATCCTTCGACGTACATATATATGTAAGTCAGTACCGCCTTCGGTGGAAATAGGATATAAATAGAAACAGAAAAGAAAGATCTAACAGTACGTGAGATTTTATGCCATTAAATATGCACAGCGAAATACGCGAGCGAGTTTTCGTGTTTTCGGCACTTGCAGTTCCGAATTTAACCGCACACACGTGTACCTCCCTTTTCTCGTATACCTACGTATTATACTTAAATGTGCGACACATAAATGGCGGAAGTATAGCTCGCAACCACCATCGTTGTTTCCAGTGCCGATATAACTTCCTACGTAAATCCTAATAACGCCTAATTTGTAGTCTGACCTGCTAGAACGGTACCCGAACTTTTAAGTATGAAGAGCTTATAGGCGTTATACTCACGACCTACCCACTCCTACTCTCTCCATTATCTACTTCACCTCGTAAAATGGCAAAAACCCGTCTTGGACATTAACCAGCTGAAATAAGAAAGTCTTCGTACCCCTCGTACTTACTACCGATCGAACGAACCTTCTCTTATATACCTTCAAGTTCCCTTAAATATATATATACACTTTCATACATACACACACACATATACAGTATATATGTATATATATATATATATATATATTTGTCGTACGATCGAAAGTTTTCACCGTCCTACGTAAGTACTTACTTCCAGTGCACGTGTTTCCTATTGTCGAGCGACCCGATCACGAAATATGATATTTCTCCGCGCGGAAAGAAACCAAGGGGATCTTCAGTCTTCCATCAAGATTTGATTACCTTCAAATCTCGATATCGTCCGAATATCGGGTAGAAGAATATATCAAAGTATAACGAAAGCTAATCGAATCAATTTAAATTAACGTAATAACAATCGAATAAACCTATAGATATCCGATATCGTATCGTTATGATATATGGTTAATTTACTTCTGATCTCATTGAAGGTAAACGGTAGAGAAAGAGAAAGAGAGAGAGAGAGACAGAGAGAGACAGAAACAGAGAGAAAGAGAGAGAGAGAGAGAGAGAAAGAAAAAATATAAAAAAGAAAAGAATAAACAATTCAATAAAGGAAACAGATACAAGTAGAATATTATATTCTTTGTCGTGGTAAGATAAATTATCGATATGGTATCAAATTATTCTATGTTATGCGACTTCCTTTCCTCTTGTTTCCAGATACGGCGGACCAGACACATATCAAGTGACAGAAAAGTTCAACGTCGACTGGGGTACATATCTCGTGTCAAACAAGAGTATCATATACGCTGCCATCGACGGCAGAGGCTCCGGATTAATGGGCAACAGCATGCTATTCGCTGGATACCGGAACCTTGGTACCGTTGAAATCATTGACCAGATTAATGTAACGAGGTAAGTTTCTCGACAAATATTACGAGAGATAAAGAGAGAGAGAGAGAGAGAGAGAGAGAGAGAGAGAGAGAGAGAGAGAGAGAGAGATAGTGAGAGTGAACCGCTATTCGCGTTCACGCTTAAACAAGGAAAGTTGGCCCGATATCGCTTCGAATAATCCATAGTAAAAGTACAGACAAAACTTTGCTATATGTGGTGATGTAAAATTACACTCAAGCGAAATTCAAAATGAATTGCTTGTGCATAATGCAAGTACTCTTATAAATGTTATAGGTCAAATTGCAAACAGTAGAAAAAAGGAGAGAAAGAGAGAGAAAGAGAGAGAGAGAGGGTAATAATCTTTTAATTTATTATTTTCTTTTTTTTTTTCTACAAGAAAAACTTTATTCTTTTAAACCCGATCGTTCTTTCGCATTCTTTTCTTACCAGAATTTATAATGTCTGGAGGAGGAAGGTAAGGAAAATTTGAAACAACGAAACTTTTGGTTCGCTCGAGAATCGTTAACGAAAGTTTGCTTGAAAACTAATTATAGGCTAGTTCTTTTTTCCTCGTTACACTCGTTGACCGTATAACTTATTTCGCACCTGGATTGCTAATTCTCTAATCCAACTGCTCTAGAGATAACTAACTTTTAAGTTCTAACGCCCAATTTCTGTCTCTTTCTCTTTCTCTCTCTCTCTCTCTCTCTTCTTCGGTTTCGAATATATACTTACTTTTCAACGAACTTCCCTGAGTCTTCTTTTATACATAAGAAGTTACGAAAATACGTTCACAAGAAGAAAATTGCTCTTTAGCTTCATCCGAATTTATAGGCCTACCAGTAGTAGAACATCTTTTTCCTTCTCTTTCGTTCGATCCTCCGTAGTCGTCGGTACGCTCATATTTTCGTTTCGCTGTCACGGGTAATTCGTTCCGACGGTAAGGGTTCGAGGAACCGAGGCAAAAGCTATCCCTTAAAGTTATGGCACACCAAACTTATATACATTTGATAAAAATATTGCAGTATTTTACGCAATATTTTTCAAATCTACGAGAACTCTCATATATGTTAAATTATTTTCAATTATTAATTACAATAATATAGAAATTTTCTTTATATGTCAAGGAATTTAACCATTATATATCATTTAAATGGGGACCGTAGTAACTCATGTTACCTCGTTAGTAATATAGTACAAAATCCATTCGAGACTGTAATAATATTCAGTAATTCTATATTCATGGTCTATCGACTATATATTTCTATTTAGTAAAATATGAAATGTAAATTCCAAACAAAGTTTAATACGGCCATTAGCGGCCAATACGAATGATTATAAAATGATAGAAACGAAATACGCGTTTACTTCAAATATTAACGGTACTATTAATTTATCGTTTTTAATATTTTATTCGTTACCATAAATCCTACAAATTCATCTGTTATACGAAAAATATAATTTCATCGGTTCAACCAATCACAGTAAACGTTACGTGACGTATGTATTTTATTTCGATACCTAAAAAGATACATAACTTCCAATCGCAAAAGTTCTCCTGTTTTCTAGTAGAAAAGCGAAACATTTATTTCCGTTTCGATACACGGAAGTAACGTTTCACTGAAAATCCCGATTGTCTATCCTATATACGACACTTCTTCAAAGATTCCTCAAAGTTTCGATTCACCAAAGGTCGAGTTTCCGTCCAATTGATTCGTACAGGAAGTCAGCAGATCGTCAAAAGACAACCGGATGGTAAACCACATTGTGTTTCGTAAATTTACTCTTGGTACTACGTTAAAAGTGAGATCTTTCGAAAAAACGGGGTGGAGATGGGATAGCGAGAAACAAGGTAGGGCGTTTCAGTTCGATTCGCTGTACCATTCCAATACACGCTTCCTTTCGTACGTATGTATGTTAGATATATATACATATATGTGTGTGTGTGTGTGTGTCTATATATATACCCAGGTACATAGATATATACGTATAGAAAATACGTGCAAGTATATACAGAGAGATGTTTTGCTGGCGCGTCACATCGCGTCCGCTCTGTAAAAAACCAGTCGCAAAATTGGAAGCCGTCCAAGCGATTGCGGAATCGTCCGACTCGCTTTAACCTCTGCTCTTCATCCCTCTTCTTTTCTCTTTCCCTACTTTTCTTCCCTCGAACTTTTAGCTTTCTAAAACTTTTCTACTCGCAACGTACATTGTCCTCATTTAAATTGTTTTTACATATAGATACCTATTATATGTACAACATGTCACATATACGATCAATCACAAATACAATCAATTATTTTTATAAATTTTATTATCAATTTCACCAGTAACTTATCGTTGTACAATGGTATTATTATTATTATTATTATTATTATTATTATTATTATTATTATTATTATTATTATTATTATTATTATTATTATTATTATTATTATTATCATTATTATTAATATTAATACTATTATTATTATTAATACTATTGACGTTACCCCCATTATTGTGTCACGTTTGAGTTCTTTCCAATTTCTTAAATTGATAGATACTCGCGTAGCTTCACTTAATTTGATCGTTTGATTTTTATCTCTTACGTGAAATAGTTTTAAACGAGTAACGCCTAGGTATATACCTTACATTCCTCATCCACTTTTTTCCCTCGTCTTCGTCTGAAGTTTCATTTCACTTACAGAAAAAGCGAGAGAGATAGGGAAAAAGAAGAAAAAAAAAGAAAGTAGAAACGGCAAGAACTTTTAAGACTTATCAACGTATATCATCAACGGATATGATACCTTCAAATTGAAATTTTTTTAAGAATCATAATGCCACACGCGAATACAAGAATAAGAAGTTAATTAAAAGTAACACATTGATTATCGTGAAAGGCTTCTTTATTTCTTCTTTTTTCTTTTTTATAAATAAAAAGAATGAAGAATGTAAGGTATTCATTCGATATTTCTAACGAAAGAATTTGACGTCGTATTACAATATACATGAAGAAGGGATGAGGTGGTAAGGGGAGGGACGGAGATGTGAAGTTGTTTTCAACAAAAGTCCAAAGAAACGTCAATAGTACTACATTGATATGAGAGAAAAGGGAAGGCTATGAAAAGGGTATGAAGAGTGCGAAAAACGAAAAACGAAAAGCGAAAGCAAAGAAAACAAAACAGCAAAACTATGCGGAGTAGTTTTCTATATATATTACTACAATGGTACTACTACTACTATTATTACTACTGCTATCACTATACTACTACTGCTATTACTATTCTGTTTCTCCGAACTATTGGATTTTTGCGTTCAAAGAAGAAAGAGCCAAGGATTCGTCAAGTCTTCCAGCTCAATTTACAAAGCGAATAAGTCGCAAAGAAAACGAAATCCACTGTATTCGTCGTGACTATGTCTCTTGTTACGTAGTGAAAGAACGAAAAAAGAGAGAGAGAGAGAGAGAGAGAGAGAGAGAGAGAGAAAGAGAGGGATAAAGACATAGATAGGTAGATAAATAGATGGATAGATAGACAGACAGACAGACAGGAAAGGCTTACTACTACACATTTCCAGATACGATACAACGACAAAGTATGATCCCAGTGGGACCATTATTAGCAGATGTACCAGAGGTGAAATAGTGTCTCTTAGAAAAATCGAAAAAGAAAGCTAAAATAAAGAATCTTATTTTTTCGTCACACTCTCCTTCAAATCTTGATGATATACGCACATATATATCGATAAAACATCGTTAACCAAGTGAAAGGTACTTTATACGATAAGATAAATGTATCCATTAGATCTAATGATGATACATATATTGATAAGGAATTTATTCTCCTATTTTTTTTGCTTTTTTCTTTTTTTTTCTTTCTTTTCCTTTTTTTTTTGTTTTTCTTTTCAATCGAACGAAACATAGAAAGAACAAAATGAATTACTTGCATTAATAAAAATTCTATAATATGAATCGATAAATCATTTTAATATTTGACCATTAGTTATATTAACCATAAAATTGTCGACGTTGTAATAAGATATTACGCTAGCCGGAAGGGATTTCACAGCCATGTGCTGCAACAAAAAAGACTCTCAAGCCACTTATCCTGTCCTGTAAGGAAGACAATCGTGTTACTTGAGCGTGCACACCAAGAGCTTGGATATTTCTATGTTATGAGAGGATTAAGAAGAAGGAAGAGAAAAAAGGAAGACGAAAATAAGGAAAAATTGAGAGAGAGAGAGAGAGAGAGAGAGAGAGAGAGAGAGCAAGGAGAAAAAGAGAAGGAGTGGATAAAGTCAGTCTTGATCTTTATCGCATACTAGTCGACCATCGTGCGAAACGCTTCTCATAGAAGAACAGGGTTTTCCTCTTACAAGCTACGCTACTTTACCGCATTATTCTCGAAAAATAAGGGTAATTTCATACTCACTTTTACAGAATTGCTATCACTTCCGGTCGAGGAGGTTGAACAGTACATTAAAAATTTGCCTTAAGGGTGTTGTTTCTTTTCTTTTCTTTTTTTTTTTTGTTTCTTTTTTTGTTTTTTTTTTCCTTGAGATCGCAAAACTCAGTTCGACTGAGAAAGGAACAAGAGTGGAGATACCTTTCTCACGTATTATCCACCCGTCTCTCTTTTCTACCCTTAACCTTGTATTCCTTCCTCTAATATTTATCACCGCTCCACGTTGCGTCTATCTCTCTGTTTCAGGCATCTCCAGAATAAGTTAGCCTTCATCGATCGCACCAGGACAGCAATTTGGGGTTGGAGTTATGGAGGTTACGCCACCGGTATGTCACTCGCTATGGATTTCAATGGTGTCTTCAAGTGTGGTATGTCCGTAGCTCCGGTCACGGATTGGGCTCTTTATGGTACGTCTTATTTAAAACTTTCTTATTTATATATATATATATATATATATATATATATATATATATATATATATATGTATATATAAAATATAAAATATATATATATATAAAATATATATATTCCTATTTCAACCTGTATCATTTATCTTTTCAATCTTTTCACATAATTATTTCCTTTCAGCGGACATTTCGTTCCAAAGTAGTTTCAAATTAAGAATCGTGACGGTTTAATTACGAATAGTAAGTGTCGCGAAAGAGAGAAAAAAGAAATAGAGTAAAAGAGATCGAGTGTATAAATGACCACGCGTTAATGAACATTAATTATCAACTTACCACAGAACAGCCGCGCAAGTTTCTATGAAACGCTATACATACCATGACACCGGTCCTCCCTTTGTTATAACAAAATACATTAATCTCTTCTATCGTATTAGTTCAACCAAAGGATATCCTTTAATTAGTAACCCAACTTTAATTGCAGATTCAATATACACGGAACGATTCATGGGCCTACCAACCGTCGTTGATAATCTTCAGGGATATGAAAATGGTCAACTGTTAAATAAAGTCGATAATATAAAAACAAAAATGTATTATCTGATCCATGGTACTCTCGACGATAATGTGCATTATCAACAATCACTGATGCTCGCCAAAGTTCTCGAACAAAAGGATATACTTTTTAGACAACAAGTAAACAAATCGTTATTGTTTCCATTCATTTCGCGATTATTTATTTTTTCCATCTATCGAGAACCATCCATATATTTATTTCAAATTATATGTACTTAAATATACATATCTACATATATATATATATATATTTTTTTTTTCTTTTTCTATAGACGTACACCGATGAGGACCATGGAATTCTACAATCGCGAACACATCTCTATCATTCGTTGGAAAACTTTTTAGACGAATGCTTTCAAACATCGTCATGATTAAAGCACGGAATTTTAATGACAATCTAGGCACCTTATACACCACTTGCCTCACAGTCCATTTGTAAATACTTTACCACTTGTACATAGTTTATGTACAATAATGTAATATGAGCGTTAGTGTACATAATTCGGGAAGAGAAAAATAAGAAATAAATAAAAGAATGAATATTGTCGTCGTCGTCGTCGTCGTCCTCAATGAAATGATAATGCTATAAGAGTAATTTCATACTCACTCTTAAAGAATTGCTAACACTTCCGGTCGAGGAGGTTGAAGAGTGCATTAAAAATGAGACGGTGTAGTTACGAAAAACAGATTTATGAGAAACGTCTTTGATACAATTTGTAAGAAATCTGAATTCATTAGTAAAATCGAAGGCCTAAGAAAATCAAAAGGCGCATCCGGCGCTTTGATTTTCAGATTCCATAAAGTTTGAGTGCATGTGCATTATATATTTTATTACCAATTAAAAATCGCTTTTTCAAAAGCGATCCCAATAGGATATTTATCTCCTCTTGTTTTTCTTTTCTCTTTGTACAAGAAACTACGCGCGATTATTTGTCCGATTTTTAAAAGAAAATATTAGATCGCGCAAGCCTAATGAAATATGGCAAATGATACTTCTGATAAGAGAAGTTATATACGCCGATAAAGATCTCGAATTTTGAGAGAGCATTTTTATCTTGTTGGCATATACTTTATTATTATTATTATTATTATTATTATTATTATTATTATTATTATTATTATTATTATTATTACTATTATTATTATTATTATTATTATTATTATATACGTATTCAGTAATTTTAATATTAAAGTATTCAAATCTCTTATTTTTCAATTACTAAGTAAAACTCTGAGAATGGATTATTATTTTATTATTTTATTACTTTATTTAATAATACATACTATATATTATATGAATTGTATTTTAATGAAAATTTTTTGTACTTCAAGTTTAATGAAAATAATTAAACTATATTTAAATAAATGTATCATCTACTTGACAGATCTAATTTGAGAAAGATAAATACTAATTAGATATGTATTTAAATAATTTTTCTTTTACGTTATGTATTAATATTACGAAAACGAAGTTGACTATATATAATAAAAATGCCCTCACAAGAAACTGCAAATGTAAATTTTTAATATACAAAATCAAATTCTTAGAATTTTACTACTCAGAGTTCACATAACAAAGTTCCTCTATTAGTTTATGAGACCCTTTTCTTGTGACACAAGATAGCATATCTATTATGAACTATAATTAGAATGTGGGCAATTAACAATGTGTTAATGTCATATAAAGAAGGGGTAGGATTATCGAAGAAAAAATTTATGACTAATAAGATTTTTTAATCAAAGGACCACTACATCATAACAGTTTTAAAAGTGGATCAAAATGAATTTATTAAAATAATTGTTACCTTTTATGCTGACATACTGTATATATGAAATTACTTAATTACTATTTAATTAAGATATCCATATATTGTTATAACAAAATTGTACTATTGACCCTGTAGAATTATAAAAATACTTATATACCCTTCTCATTCATCATTTGTTGAGTGTATCATAAATAAAGTTCTATGTTTTATTAGAAGAGAGTGATCGTATTGAAATTAATTAAATTCTAATGTTTAAAATTTTTCATTTCAAAGATACAATGACCCAAAACATATCCAAATCACGAATTTTCTGTTTCTTTGAATCTGTAATGCAAAATTAAATTTCTTGTATATCAATTGCTACAATTAACTTTTATAAATCTTTATAACTTATCATCTATGCTGTTAACTTTCAATGAAATTGAAACATAAGTCATGTACTTATGGCATCGTACGTACTTGCACTTGGTACATGTATAAAACACAGTTTGTCCTTCATCAGCTGATCTTAATTGCAATGTTGCATATGACATTTTTTCATTTTGACACTGTGGACATCGACGTTCGACTATTGGACCATCACCATCCTGATCATTATCATCCGTCTCTTTTGTATGAGAGTATGAACTCTTTGATTTAAAAGATATAGTATAGGTCATAGCCATGTCGCCAAAAACTAAAAGTACATCAGATTTATATGCTATACTAAGGTAGAGATTACACCAATGTATCAGCAAAAAGTAAAAAGAAATATTTTAAATTAATCATCTAATACAAAGCTTCCGAAAGATTTATTCTTTATATTCGAGCTATATGCGTTAAGTTTAATTATTAAATCACTGGATAAAAATAATTGATTATTAAATATCGTCTGATTCAATTGCTTGTTTTAAGTGAAGATAATTATGATCTCTATTAAGTCATAACGAATCTTTATCGGAAAAAAAAAACGAACCAAATTGACATAAACGTTTGTAGAATTTAAATTTTCCACAATACTTTCAGCACGTGCGCACTAACATTAGAAATGAAACGTAATTATAAAAACTAACCTTCATGTCCCCAGCTTCGTTTGCAGGAATAACAAGTTACATTGCCCTTGTCACCTAACAAAGGAAGAATCGATCCGCAATCTGGACAAAATCCTGGCGCTGTCTTGAATGACACGGTATTATTATCTTGAGCCATTTTTCTATTATTATTCTTAAAAATAAACTGCTATTCGCGTAGATGAAGCATCTAAAATTTCAATGAATTTCAAAACGCATTACTCATGAATGAACGAACTCGATATGAATGGCGCAATGCAGTGCCATCTAGCGACGAAATCTCAAATTCGAATACTTCGACATTCTAACCAAATAACGAAACACCAAAATTTTCTATCATTATTTCTATAAAATAAATAACGTAATAAATAATATTTTAAATAAATAATATGTTTAACATTAATCGATTCTCATTTGTTAATATATACGTCGTATTAAACGTCTTAGAAAATAATACAATATATTACACGAACATGCTACACGTAAGAACGTTGAGAGACGACTGAGGTCGGAACTACTCGTCGATTGTATTTGTTTACATTCTAAACTACACGCGTCGTGATCAGACTGTGAGATTACTCGGTGAGCGTTCGGCGTTCTTTTTCTTTTTTTTGCGAAAAAAAAATCGTACTATATCATATAACGCGTAATTGTTTTCAATTTTTAACAAGATAATTACTTTCTTATGCCTTGTAAATCTCTCGATAAGAATAGAAATGTCGAGAGTAATTTTTTTTCTTTTTTTTTTTTTTTTTTAATAAAAAATGCAACTTTCAATCATATTATAATGAATAAGATTAAAGTGAAAATTTCGTCCGATCTGTTAAAAAATAATTCCAGTTTACCTTAATAATTAATTTCTTAAATAAATATCGTAGACACGGTTCGCAGATAATCGAGATTTAAATCAACGTGCTCGTTAATGCAATTCTCCACTATTTCATTATCTACATCTTAATATTTCAGGTCGTTGAATTTACGTATCCCGCGGATAATGATAATGCCAATGTTGAATCATCGCATGACCGTTGCTTTCTTCATGAGTCTCACGTTTTTGCAACCGGCTAGCGGGTAAGATATATATATATATATATATATATATATATATATATATATGTATATGTATACTCCGACAGATCGATATCTTAAACTTGACAAAAGCATAAAACAAGATTCGCGAAAGCGGCATTTTACGTGTCGTTGCGCTTCGATGAGATTCCAACCATTGGGATGTTTGATGGCAGGAGGAAAATGACATTGTTCGACTTTACGAGGATAAATAACGTGAAAGATTGGCAAGAGATATCGGATACTGTAAGAACAGTCGGAAAATCGAAAGCCACGCTGGTCTTGCAAAAAACTCAAGTCTTTCAGAGAGCGATCTTTTTCACTCTTCTCAATCCTCAACCCAACGGAGCTGGATTTGCTGGCGTGAGAACCCGAGTAAATTTAAATCTGACGGATTTCGAAACTATTGTGATTAATTGTCGTGGACAGGGAAAAAATAATCATTATAAGATTGTTCTTAAGCATAAAGGGCTTGATTCAGATAACGATATGAGTTATGAGCAATTTTTCCAAGTAAGTTTAAATAAAATTAATTTATAAATGATTAACGAAATAAAACGAGTATACGTACGTTTTCTTATTTAAAAAATTTTATTTCTCTCTTTTTTTTCTTCTTTCTTTTTATTATTTCTTTTTTTTTGTACGTCATTAATCCAGGCGCCAATGTCGAGCGAAGAATTCTCAACTGTCTCTTTAAAGTTAAATAATTTTAAGCCTTATTACCATGGTCGAAAAATACCAAATGGGGAACCTCTGGACGTGGAAAACATTACGATGTTTGGCTTGCAAGTCTTTGGAGGCGTCTATTTACCTTTTAAACAAAGCGGCGTATCAGCTTTGGAAATCGAGACTATTGTTGCATCTTAAATATTCTTGATGTTATTGCGATATTTGAATTTATATTTAATCAAATAGTTATAATTAGTTTGCTTAAAGGAATCTCTGTTTAATCTTATTAAAAAATTATATCCCTATGATATCGGAAATATATTCTTATATAAAATACTTATGTAATCAAAAAGCAAAATAAAAGTATATATTATATCGATGGTATAATATCTTAAAAAAAAAATAAAAAAAAATCATTCAAAACTTACTTTCGATCATCCCATGAGAAATTTCCTTTCATAATATGATACAAATCGAAGGATACATTATAAACTATATATACATATATATTTATATATATATTTATGTAAGAAAAAAGAAAAGGTACAAAATGATGACATATATATAATACTTTTGCTACGCCACCTTACTTCGTATATGTGCTCTATTATCTAATCGTTCAATAATTTTTTTTTTTCTTTTTTGTCTCTCGACGAATCACAAAAGATTAAAAGAGTCTCGAATTTCGTAAATAAAAAATTATCGGTTAGTAAATCATAAATAAACGGCAATATGGGATAACCACGAAGCGACATTATCTTAATTATCGCGTCTATCGTCCGTTGTGGGATCTCGTCTGGGTTGTCTCTCGTTGAATGCATTTACACCTTTACAAACGGATTCCCGGGTTTCGAGAGGCGACGAAATTCAGAAGCTCATCGCTGTCCTCGCAAACGAATGGCTTTACGTGATGACAGGCAACGTCGTGCCATTTAATGCCGTCGTTGTAGAAGTTGTTGAGAATGGACAGGCAGGATTCATCGTTACCCTGTGATGATAAATGTTAAAATCAAGATCTTTCAAGGGATAACTCTTTCTTCGTATTTTTTTTTTCTTTCTTTCTTTCTTTTTATCTTTCTTTCTTTTTCTTCTTCATGAACACGAATGAAGTCGTGTCATGTTGAAATTGATAAAAATCAGAGGATATTTCCTATATGAAATACGATCTACGATAGATCGTAAGAAAGGTAATAGAATGGAAAAGAGAAAGGTCTTTTTGTAAGGAGTTTCAATCAAATAGAATCGGATAAGTGAAGATGAGAAAATCGAACGCGAATAGGACGAACGAAATCGAAGGGAAAGTAAAGAGAGAATGGAAAAGACCGCAGTACCTGAGCAGCCTCGCGGTTGTCTGGCTGTGGCTGACCATATCCACCAGTATGGCTCCAATCCCCAGAATTACGTTGGCTGGTCGGTCCGATTTTAGCACCGGATCCAGACCAGAACCATCCGTTGACATTTTGCGGTTGAAGATCGGGACGGTCGCAACCGTTAAAATTGCATTTACGTCCAGAAGTCCAGATGTATCTCACGTTTCCTGACGACGGAATCGCGTTAAATAATATTTCCCTTGATTCGAAATTATTCGATTCTCGCTTCGAAAATCTAATTTCTACCTTCTCGCATGAATCCAAATCTATGATGATTTTCTACTCATGATCGTTTATATTACATTAAGAAAACTTTTGATACAGCAAATATATTATGTAGTATGTAATATTAAATGTTGATTAAAGTGTATATCATTTTAAAGGGATACCTTTCTCTAATTTTATAATCCTTCCTTCCGTTTTCTTTTCTTTTCTTTTTTTCTTTTTTCATTTTTCTTTTTTTATTCTCACGCGTCCGATTTAAATTAAACAAAAGATCATTTTGAGATTTTATAATACATCGCAGGAGTACGATACACGCGAGACCATTTTTCGTTCTCTTAATTTCATTTTTTTACGACTTTGGTGAAAGTGAACTACGTATTTCAATAAAAACGAGTATGTTACGTGAGTTACGAAATACGTATACTTGAAATTTATCTCGTAACACAAATATTACTTTTCTTACAACACGAGTGAATTTAATTCAAAAGATATACCCTACGAATGCGTTGGATGTTACGAAAGAAATTTTTTTTTCTCTCTTTTTCTAGCAATGTAATTCGTGGAATATTATAATGAGAAAGATTTACTATAATATTATATGAGAAGATTTACTATCGAAAATAAAATCTTATCAATGAAAGCTGAAATCTATCTTTTAAAATACGTTTAAATCAGAATGTATCCATCGAATACGAATCGTGCGTTACACAAAGTTCACATAAATTTACCTCTGGCTACTCTTTGCTTGATGAATTCATTTTCTTGTGGCGTCTCGAGAGATACCGCGTCCATGCAATGACGACGGCAAATGTTACGAGCATCAAGCCAGTCCACCTCGAGGCTTCTAGTCGGCAAATGTTCCCAACTGAAGAAGTACGAATGAGAGACACCCCTTGCGTCCCTGTAACTCGCATGACGAACGCCTGCGAATCGAGATAATAATTACACAAGATTGCCATTATTTTTTTATTAAATACAATAATCGATGTATTCCTTTTCGATCTGTTTATTTTCTTTTCCTTTTCTTTTCTTTTCTTTTATTTATTTATTTTTTAAACATCGATGATCTACATCGTATAAATACCTTTGCAGTTACTATATATTTGTAAGACGATCGTTAATTCCGTTTACATCAAAAACATGAATTCGTTGCGCTACCATCTCTGTCTCAAGTCGACCGCATTAATGATCAATAAAAGGCTTTGGATACGTTTGATTAGGAAAGCGGAGAAGGATGGGACATCTCGTTGAAACACTTGATTGCCATATCCGTGGATCAATGATTTCTGTTTTCTTGTCTGAGTATAGTTACTATACGCTTGAGTAACGAAAGAGTTCAATAAGTTTCGATGAAGTAATACGAATAGATAATAATTTAGCGATCTATCATAATATAGGACAAATCGATAATGAACGAATTTATATCGATTGGAAAAAGAAAGAAAAAGGTAATAGAGATGTAAAAATTACCGACATAGATACTTATATGGCTGTTCGATTTTTTTCTACCCGATAGTTCGTCCTCTTTCTCACGTAATAAAATATAACCTTCGGAAGTGGAAAAGAAATTGAAAGGGAGATAGACAAGGAGAGAGAAAAAGGAAGCGAAAGAAAAATGTATATATATATATATATGTACATACATAAAACTTGAGAAAGAAATATATATATATGTATATATATATATATAGAGAGAGAAGAGGGACAGTGAATAACTGCAGCAAAATCCCTACGATTAGCCATGGTCAGTTGGTTAGGGTTAACTACGTCTCTTTAATCGTCGCACAAAACATTTAACTTAACTACAATAAAGTGCTCAAACTCGAATGAAATATTATTACAGCCGGGGAACGCGACGCATACTTAAATCGTAATTATAGATGGATACTTTCGTGACTATCGTCGTTTAAGAACCTCCGTTCTAAATCATAGACTCTCATGTTTCTTCGTTCGAAAAAAATTTCTTTTAAATTCGCGAAAGTTTCTTTTTTGTTCTTTTTTTTTTCTCTCTCAAATCGAAGGGGATCTGGGTTGTGAAGATTGTCCGATATCATTGCAGTATCGAAACGTTGTAATCGATCGGAACGTTACTTTCTATCCATCATCGTCTTTTTTCTTTTATTTTTTTATAATTAACCATTAATCGAACGAATATAATAATGTTCTCTAAAGCATTAATAAAATATTTTTAATTGTATCATAATATAGCACAGATATTATTTATAGTTCATTCATCTGAAATGAAAGTTCTCTTTTTCTCTATTTTATTTTCGCTTTTTTTTTATCTTCTTCTTTTCCCTTTATCCCCTCGAAAATCCATTATAAAATTTTATATAGAATACTTACGATTCGCACAACTTCGTGGATCCGGCAAGGACAATCGACGCTGAGCGTTCACGGCGATTACGCCGAGGAACAGCAAACAGACGATAATCCTCATACTCCTAAACCTTGAATAGAAAAAGAAAGAAAAAAAAAGTATGTACGTTTCGTATATGATACGATATTTTTGGCTTTTTCCATTGGGAGATAAATTAAATCGTTAAATTTAAAGTAAATTTCGGGAAATTTTTGAATTGAATTTATTCTTAGTTGTATGAAATTTCACATTACTTACCTTTTAACTATAAACTCGGATATGAATTTTAAGAACATTATCATATTTTCATGTAATACTGTATGTAATCATTAAATTTACCATTCGAAATTTATTCATTCAAGAGCTATTACGTTATGAAACGTACGATTGATATTTATGATAAAAGTAAAAGGTGGTAGCGAAAGAAAATGAAAAAAAGAAAAAAGAAAAAAATGATGATATATCGATGGAACTCCGTTACGTCATATCGATAACAGGCTACCGTCTTTCGTAATCTCACCATTTTTGGTTTCGAATTCCATTGAAGATAGAAATTCCATCTGAATTACCGATTGCAACATCGAATCTTAATTTTGCCAATTTCCAATTCAATTTCAATCAAGCAAATAATTTGTGCAACTTAAGCGAGATATATACATAAAAAAAAAAGAAGATAAGATAACGTAGGAATGTTGATAAAAATATTCCACTGAATGAGACGTTAAGAAATATTTTGGAGAATATTCGATCAGGAGTTTATAATACTAAGATTTAAAAAATATCGGATGATCGCATATATTTATCGATTAGATATATTATTAAAAATTAAAAAATTTATGATATTTTAAAACTAGTTTCATATTGATAATGAACTTAACTATAGTTAAGTTTTTTATAACTAGTCCGTTATTAACTATAGTGAAGTTCATTATATTTAGAAAAAAAAAAAATATATATATATATATTTAGAAAATGATATTATATGATATTTAAAAATATATATTTAGAAAAATGATACTGCTGTTTTTTGATTTATATACATATATGTATATAAATGTACATAAATGTGTAATTAAATTTTCCTTCGCTCTCAAATTTTTTCCGAGATTTTTTATTTCAATGGTTTATACGGATAAGACCGATACAATTCCAATCTCGATCGAGGAAGAGAACACGTGACTTGAAATATAATTCTGTCGGGTAATGACGAGAGTAGAGCCCGAGGATAAAAAGAAGAAAAACAGAAGAAAAAGACGAAGAAGCTGGATGATCAAGGATCGATTTCACGCATCGCACAGATCGAGATAGCCTCCGATCGTTTTACTAATGACTTTCATTGGTAAAGAACCGAGAACGACTTTCTACGAGTTGCTATCATTCGGTTTATAGCGAATCTTTAACGTATAGTTCGATCGTTCATGGCTTCTAAGATTCCACTGTATAATCGTTGAGATTCCTTCTTTACATTTTCTTATTTACTTCGGTCCGAAGTGAAATTGAACGAATATTATAAAATTATTATAAAAATATTTCTGCTATATAACGATTATTATATTGCTATTTTTTAAATCATTTGATAAATATTTTCTACGACGTTTGTTTTATAACTACTCTGTTATTTAGATTATTATCATCAGATAACCTTTTTAGAAGAAAAAAAAAAACAAAAAAAAAAAAAGAAAAAGAAACACTATATGATTAATGTTAATAAACTTTAATATATTTATCATATTTCTTTACTTTAGTCAGATTTATCATGACGTCATATAACGTCTCATTTCTACCTACTCATAACTTGGATATATTTATCATATTTCTTGATATTCGTCAGATTTATTATGCGGTTCGGTAAGGTCTTTTTCTTGCGGTTCATAAGTTTTGTATATTTGTCATATTTCTTGGTATTCATCATCGGATTTATCATGCGGTTCATAAAATCGTAAATGTAGTATCTTAAACTCGCAAATTATAGGATGAACGTGACCGTAAGGAAGTTGCAGTTTGGATTTTGAAATAATCACGAAGATACTGGTTGATCACTCTCACGTCGGTTACCGTAAATGTCAGGTTCAAATGATCACGTACGTCCGTATTCTTACATTCTCAGTACTCGTAAACCAGTCTGAAAGGCAAAGGTACATTAACCTCAGCGTCGAAACATTAAATTGCGCGTAAGAACACTATAAAAATGAAATTCCTTCCAGTATCGTTAGTTAACACGTCGCAGACGTATCGAGCTTTTCTACTACCTTAACTTTATTAAGTTTAACCATAAACATTTTTATATTTTATATATCTATATGCAATACGTTCGCATTATAACATTAATTATTATCATCAAATCAATTATTTTCAAAACAATAAAAATAAATTATATTCATTATCTGTTTGTAAAGTATATTTGTGATATAAGAATTCCGCTAAGATTCATTAATTCGAAATCGTTAATCATTATTTTATTAAATCGAGATCTTTCTAATGAATAATAACAAGTATATTTAATATAGCGTGTTCGCTTAATAGCAGTAAGTCATAAACAATTGGTGATTAAATCGAGCGTTATATTACGTTCGTATTCTTTATACTCTTTAAGAAAAATTCTCATATATCTTATGGTTAAAGAACCGTAAGAAACGACTCTTCTTTCCCCTCTTCGTAAAAGTGACATTAACATAAAACACGGAATTTAATCTACCGTCCAAAACTTTCGTTCGAGAACAACAACTTCATCAATCACTTTCGGCTTAATTATCATTGAAATATTTAATCATCATTGAAATATTTTAACTATAGAATCGTCGTTGAAATTATCAATTTTTCTCTCTTTCATTTTATATTATATTTACGATAACCATATATAACCGGACATTGATCTCGAATTAATAAAAAAAAAAAAAAAAGAAGTGATGAGTTCCATTGAAATATTTTTATAGAGAAATTTGATTTTCTCGATCGACTCGTAAAAAATGCTAGTTATTCGTATTAGACGAGGAAATACTAGGAAGTGAAGAGGAAGATATAGACGAGGTTGCTAACTCCCACGCATTCAATGATCCGCACGCTTTTATAATGCTCGGTAGAAAAGAGCGAGATAGAAGATGGTTTGTCTCATTAAATACGTACTTTGTTTTCTCTCTCTTTCTCTCTCTCTCTCTCTCTCTCTCTCTCTCTCTCTCTCTTTCCTTCCTTATATATCTCTTTCTCTGTCTGCTTTTAATCATAGTACGATGCTCGGTACTTGCGCTTTCTCCGTGAGTGTTGCGAGCCGATACAACTCTTCAATTCACTCGCGCTTATCTTTCGCTATTTTCTCACGATGCATTCACTTCGAAAGAGAGAGGAAGAAAAAGAGAGAAAGAGAGAGAGAGAGAGAGAGAGAGAGAGACAATCGAAGATTGGATGCTGGAACTTCAACGACGTGTGAGATTGACTCGAAACGTGGAAATTTGCGCGCGAGAGAGAGAGAGAGAGAGAGAGAGAGAAAAGAGAGAGAATTTTCACGAGCAACTCTCTTCACTATTTCGTATTTTGGATCGTGAAAATCACAACAAAAGTAAACCTTATAAATCGTAAAATATCTCCAAGAAATAGTAGAAAATCTTCAAACGATGTTTTCTCTGCTAAGAGAAAAAACAAACGATATAAAATCTCTCTATCTCTCTTTCTCTCTTTCTCTCTTTTCCTTTTCTCTAAGTCTCAATGAATGGGGGCGATGTCCTATTGATATATAATTCGCAACTCTTGAAAGCAAGGCACGTATGGTATTAGTTGAATATACCGTTATAGAACATTATATACGATATATCTTTATCTTTCACCTACTTTTTATCGTTTAAGTTTACCTTATTGCACTTGCGATCGTTTTAATATAATAAATTTCATAGCATGAAATATATTGTCTAGTTTTAATCGATAGTGAAACGAACACATTAATTAATTAATAATTTATTATTCAATTCAATAAATAAATAAATAATAAATTAATGAGTAATTAAATAATAATTAATATTTCTGTTTCAATTAATATTTATGTTTCAATTAATATTTATGTTCAAAACAGGAATTTTCAATTAAATCAAAGATTACTGTCGCATATTCTTTTTGTTTTTTTTTTCTTTCTTTTTTTTTTTGTTTCATTTTATTCAGTAACGACAAAAATCTCGATGGAAAAATCTCATCGTCGTTCGTTCGAATTTTCGTCCCGTAATTCGATCGAACCTATTCGTACGGAAATTAAAGCCCCTAAAACGCGCAAACTGTCGCACGAAAAGACGGGTAAGGTGAGAGTTTTCCATCTCTCTCTTTCTCTTTTCTCTTTTTTCTTTTTTCTTTTTTCTTTTTCTTTTCTCTTTTTTTTCACGAACACGTACACGAGCATACTGAACGTGGTATGCATGCGATTCGCTCGTACGTCTCGTAGTCATTTCAAGTTTATCCAATGCAAAACGCGTTGATGGTACCACGACCGCGGCCAGGAAAAGATTACTCGTTAATGATGTATATGTGTATGCGTATGCGTGTGTACATATATACGTGTGTGTTCTCGTTAATCACGTATACATTCTAAACGTCTACGTAAAGAGAAAGAGAAAAGAAAGAAAGAGACAGATGGATTCCAGTGACCCGATGACCAAGTACATTTTAAAATATCTTTTACCAAAACAAATTTATTTCGATGTCATTACTAAAATATTATTTTTTATAATTTTAGGTTTTAAAAAATTTTAGACTTTTGTAATTATAAATTTATATTAATTATCGCATATAAATTATAATTTTAGTTTAATCAAAAGCTCAATCGAGGAACTCGTTAATTTTTTCAATTCTTATTTTTAATTCGTTATATGTACGATTATTAATAATTAAATTCGTACAAATAACTTTTTACTACTTTGTTAAATAATCAAATCTTTGGAAAAATTTTTAAAAAGAAGAAGAAGAAGAAGAAGAAGAAAGAAAAGAAAAAAGAGGATATAATTTATTTATTCATTCCACGTGATAATATTTCTATATACGAAATTACCGCGTAATTTATTTTTCTTAGAGCTTAAATTAGATGTATACAAAAAAAAAACAAAAAAAAACAAAAAA